TTAAAAAACACACACACACACACACACCAGCATTTGTCCCTTGTCAGCACAGCAGGAAGGACAGACATGCTGTATACAGCCTGCCTAATGAGGAGAGCTGCTCTCTTGTCTGCATGCAAAGTATTTCATCTGAGACATTTCAAACCTAGGGGATTGCAACCTTAAGACCACTGGAAACTGCCACCCTAGAAATCAGAAGTTCAGGCGCCAGTGAAAAATACACATTAACTCATCTGCAAAGTGCATTTCAAAGCGCATATTTTAAAACCTCATTTCATGCAAATTGCATAAAAAGGAATAGCAAAGTCTTTCTCTCTCGTTCAAAGATATTCTGATGATTAAAGATGACAGTTCTCAAAGATGAAAAATCCTTTTCCTTCGCATACTAATAATACGTATGTTTGAGAGCGCCAACAAAAGCCTTACTCAGAACCAATTATTCAACTGGGCCGTCTCTGCGGCTGACGATTCTGCCTTCCCTCTGCTCGGGTCAAGGGACTTTGTAGCAAAGTCTTGTTCCTCTGTAGTAGGTGTCTCTTCTCTACATTCTGTGGTCACAGATAAGACTCCTATTCCCCGTAAATCACAACCTAATCAGAGCTTCACTGCCCCCCTCCCCAGACATCCAGACCACAGCCTGTGACCTACAGTGATCTTTCCCAGAACAGCAAGAGGGGCCTGCTGGTGGTATTACTACTGCAGGACTAGTACCTGTCTGACCAGCTTGAACCTCCAGATTCTCTTGAGCCACCAGGCCATGCTCCAGTCCCTCACTCCTGGTAACCAAATCTGCATGGCAGGGCTCATGTCTTTATTCCTTCTACCCAATCTGCATTCTAATAGCGTCCCTGTGTCCCTGTCTGTAAAGTGGTAATGACAGTTTTAGTTTCATAGAGTTGTAGTGAGGATTAAATAAAGTCAGATGTATAAAGCCTGGCTCGAAGTAGATGCCCAGTTAGTGTTGTTATAATCAGCGTGATTCCAGGTGCACTCTAGAACCAGAGCCCATGCCAGGCCCTGAACGACACTGCCTGCCTTCCCAGCTCATGCAGTCCCAGCTATTCAGGAGCGGGGCACACCCCTGTACCTGCAGGACTGCCTGGGTCTCACCAAACAGATGGCAACAGAACACTGGCCTTTTCTGCGGGTGAAGGAAGCCCACTGTCCAGAATCACCCCCGCTGCTGTGCCCACCTAACAGACTGAATACCCAGGGCCTCAGTTTTGGTGTAAACTCACCCGAGAATTGCCACAGGCTTTTGGCAAATAACAACCATGATAATAGTAATAATTTCTAATATTAGTGTCAAGCTATATCACCTGTATAAAATCATTTAGTCTTCACACCCCCATGAAAGGGGAACTATTCTAGCATTCTTCCTATTTCACCAATAAGGACACTGAGGCATAAATGAAGTGTTTCACCAAATGCTCTTAAGCCAAAGCACAGCAGGGATTCAAATCCAGGGAGCTGGGTGCCACTACCTTTGTGCTTAACCTCTATGCCACATTTCCCAACATCAGAGAACAACCCCTAGCAAGGAAGAGACCCAGGCCCACCACACTAAGGCCCACCTTCCTCCCTGCACCCAGCCACACTGCACAATGTGACATGACCAAAGGAGACTCAGCAGCCCCACATTCCACACTGTAAAGCAAGTAAATGGCACATCCTGCCCTTCCTCAATGCCCATCCCCACCTCACCCTGGCTCAATATCTAATCCTACAGAAACACAGGGCAAAAATAAATCAGGCCCATCAGGTTCTAAATGCCACCAGAAAGGTAAGGTACCACAGTAAATTTTTACCCATTCATGATTAATGTGTGCA